GTAACCAGAAATTAAGAAATGGCATTAGCTTAGGCCTTAACAAAAAACAGTTTTCGTCATACTTTTCCAGTAATGGTACAAAATGCGCTACACTTATCGGATGAGGGCGTAAGACCCACCATCTTGAAGCTAAAAGACAGGGCTACAACAATGTAGAAGGCCACTTAGTCCAAATCCTAGCACAACTAGGTCAAAAATGCAGAATACCACAACCTGAACCGTAATTGCAGGTTTACAAATCACACAAAACTGTAATTAGTCTATTTCAGTCTACACAAGTCCAAATGCATTGATTCCAAAGGAATATGATAGCTAAGACATCCAGCTACATTTCATCAGAAGACACCAACAACAAAATCCAAACCAATTCCAGTCAAAATGGCCAATTACAAGTGCAGTTTTCGCATTCTGATCAACCCAGAACAGCAACAGTAAAATCGACATATCTCACTCTACACTAATCGAAATGACCTGAAATTTTGCAGGCACTTCAAACTCATCAATACCTACAACTTTCATGTTTTGAGAAAAGTCCAATTAGGCCTCTAACCCTATGATCCAAAACCAGACAGAATTAGGGGTTTATGAACCCTAACTTTTCATTTTTCAATCCATACCCAAAATTGGTTGCTATTATCACCATTTCACACCTACTAGTGTCATTATAGGCCATTGCCAATCATCATAAACAACCACACCATCATAATCCAATTAAACCAGAAAAATCATCAATAAAATAAAAAGTTCACCAAATCAGAAAGCCACACAAAATCCGGAATTTTCCTGTTTTCCCGTAGCTTCCTTTGCCGTTTTCTTCTCAGATCTTAGCCTTCCAGATTCTCCACCAGATGTCAACCAGCTTTGCTTCCCTCTTTTCTCTCTTTTTTAGTTTCCTTGGTTGCGGCTGCTATGTTCACTCTTAGCTTTTCAGAATTTCTTTCGGCCGTTCCTTCTCTCTAAAAAAAACCTCCCCCCTTGCGGCTGATGCTTCCTCTCTATTTATCCTACCTCCCAATCTCCTAAACCCTTGCTTGAAAGGTGAGGATGAGGGACAAGGACAGGCCCTCACATCCAGCCCTCCAAAGGCAAGCCTGGCCGTCCTTTGCACGCTGCAAAAAAAAAAATTGCAGCGTGCATGCTGCGACAAAATTTTTTTTTTTTTTTTTTTTTTTTACAAAAAACTTGATAATTACAGAAATGATACAATAAAATATAAATAATAATAATAACAAAATTACACAAACCAGGTAATAATAATATAACAAAACAAAAATAATTTTAAACAAAAAAACTAAACAAAAAATGGCCATTTTTAATTTTCCAATTTGATTTTTGTTCTTTGCTTCTTTTTCTCAAAATAACTTAATAAAAATAACTAAAGTGCCCAAAGATTGAATTTAAAGAAATAAACATATTTTTGTGAACAAATTTTCCTTTTTTTCCTTTTTCTCTTTTTTTTTTTTATTTTCTAATCCAACTAAGCCTATTTTTTTTAATTTTTCTTCTTTTTCCTCTTTTCTTTAATTTTCTCTTTTCTCCTTTTTATGATTTTGCATTTTCATTTTCTTTCAAGAAAGCATTGAATAAAAACAAAAATGACTAAAACATATTTTGATTTTTCTTTTTTTTTTTTTTTTTTTTTTTCTAAAAAAACTCTATGCTAATCTTAAACTCAAAAGCTAAAACTAAAAACTAAAACTAAAAGTAAATAAAAATAAATAGCAAAATGAAATAGGTCAACTAAAAGGGCGAAAATGAATAAAACTAAAATATCATAACAACTAATAGTACAAAACACACAATAACGAATTAAAATGCAAGCAATCTAAAAATGAAAATCATGAAATAGATGCTACATAAAAATTATTCAAAATTTGGTGTCTACAGGAAGCTTCTTAAGTCCAAAATTATATAAACTTTATACCATTGGAAAATAGACTCAAAGAACTACAATTTTCCGAAATACATATTTGTAAGATTCTGTCCATAAATCAGTCATTTCTAGTCTCAAATTGCTGCTTCATCAAGTAGAGAAACAGAGCAGGTGTGAAAATTTAGTCAACTTTGGAAAATCATAGATTTCATAGAAATTGAGAAAATTTCTGAAATTTTCATGGTAGAATGCACTCTGAATCTAGTTTCAAATACAATAAGCAGACTCAATTTGGATTTTTACACCAAGGTATAAGAGATTTACCAAGACTGCTTAGAGTCTCCTGCAAGAAATTTCCAACAACACTTCCTCTTATTTTCTTTACTTTACTCTAACAAAACTACTACTTAAACACACCTGCATAACATCCATTCTAGGTAAGGTTAAACCAAGTTCCTTGAGCACAAATCTCACCAAAAAACACAAAAATCCTCACAAAATTGAAGCTAAATTTCAGCCAGCCCAAGCATAAATTCCAACTTGTGGATGTTCAATTTTTACTTCATGTGCACCAAGTTAACTAAGGTACTTTAACCATGATTCTCTGCTAACACAACCAAGAAAACCTAAAGAAATCCTCACCTAATACACCTAACTATACATCAAACACACAGAAGGTATAAACAAAAACAAATGATCAAGCTTCAAAACAAGAACCCAAGCCAAGCCATCAACAACCCAAATATCTAGGTTATCTAAGCACCTTAATTACATGCATACCCTACTAATTTAAAGCATTAAATTCATGATTTAAGATTTACCGTCAAGCTCCTCAAGCTTTGCAAATTGCACCAAGAACTCCAAGAATCACCTCTCAAGTAGCAAGCCAAGGTTGGTAGAATCTAGTTGAACTTCCTCTTGAATCTTGCACTAAATTTCCAAGAAACTAGACTTAGGGTTTATGTGAAGTTTTTCCTTTCAAGAGGTTCAGCAAGAGTTCAAGACAAAAGGGCTAATGTTTTGTTAAATGGTAAAGTTTACTTAAGAAGCTAATTGTCTAAGTTAAGTGTTGTAGTGTGATGACACTTGGCCAAATTTCTACCTAGCAAGTTTTTCCCAATTTCCTTCCAATCCTAGTAGTTTACTTAAGTTCTAACTTCACCCCAAAACAATTAAATTTCCTAGGGTTTATTAGACATAACAAAAATTAATTCTCTCATTTTCTTAAACTTTTTTTACCAAAGTTAAATAAAGTAAAGAAAATAAGGCCCCAAAATGAATCATATCTTGAATGCTTAAAATAATTTAAATGCACATAAATGTATTAAAAATGGAAACATAAAACTTAAAATTTGGAGTTCTCATACCTTGACTATTGCAAAATAAAAAATTTTTGTTCTCTTCCATTTTTTTGGTTTCAATGAATTAAGGTACTTCAATAGGTTTTGTTTTCTAAATAATTTGACTTAAATTTGGAATCTATAAATTAATATTTTGGCTCTTTAGTTATACTTAAGTTATACCTATTATAATTATTGAGCAACGAGCAAGGAGTTGAAAAAATATATTTAAAAGTAATATTTAAAAGTGCATATATTAATTAAAATAGAGTAGTATTTTAATTTAAGTGCAAGTGCATATATTATAAAAATATAGTACAAGAAATTTAAAAATATATTTAAACAGAGTGCATATATTAATTTAATTAAATAAAGATGCATCTTATGGTTGGTTTTGGGAGTATTTTTTCAAAATTATAACAGTAAATATTATTAAAACCCATTTTTGAATGGTTGTTTATAGAAAAACACCAAACGGTAAATTTCACAAAATTTATAATCCAAATTTAGTTTTTCTTGAACACCAAAAATTTTGTCTCTTGATTTGATAAAAAATGCCTACAAAGTAACAAAACGAATCATGGAACATGAAAAAATTGAAAGGTGAAACTACACATTTGATCATAGTGAAATGTGGCCGAGGGGAAGTTATGAGGAAGAGTTGTAGGATGGGGATAGTAGAATTGCATGGATGGTAGATGAAGAAGAAGTAGGCTTGTAGGATAAAGGAATAGGATGGTTCATGGATGAGAAAAGGTAGGACTATAAGATGAGGAAAGAAAGAGTGGTGGAGGGTAGGGAAAAGTTAGCATGAGACAATAACAGGTAGGTCATTGGATAAGGTGTGGCAATAATGAACAGTGAAAGAAGTTTAAAAAATAAGATTGTAGGGTTGAGAAAGGGTGAATTATGATAAGAGAAAGTTGTGACTATATAATAGGGGGGAGGAGTGGTATGATAGGGGATAGTAGAATTGCGGGAAGCGGTGAGAGATAGGTCGGACTTGTGGATGGAGGAAGGAGAAGAGTTGGAAACATAGGGTTGGGTGATGAGAGGAGTGGTCAAGTGGAGGATTGGAGATAGCAGCAGAGGACAATTATTAGTAGAGTCACAAGATGGGGGATGGCATTGATGTGTTTGTTTGGTGGGCTTTAGATTTGGGTATTTTTTAAGTATATTTCGTGCATTTTAGGATTTTTTTCAACTTATTTTGGATATTTAAAATAAGATATTTGGTAGAAATTACATTGATTTGACACTTTTTGCCATATTGAAGTTTTTCATTTCATAAAACTTTTTTTAATGAATTAATTTAATATCTTAATTTTATAATATCAACCCTTGCATAGTTTTTTTTAAAGGTCAACCTGTGCATAGTTAGTTGATGTAAGGACACAAATCAACACGAATAATGAATAGGAACTTTGATATTTTAATTTTCTCATCAATATTCACATCGTGCTCAAATTAGGTTTGTACAATCTGACAATTAAAATATAAGTCTAACAAAGCCTCACAAATTTTAATTTTACATTAATTTGGATTGAAAAATCTATACTATATATAAAGTGGGAGTTTTGAGTTATGGTGTAAGCATTTTTCCGTTCATCTTTGAACTTTTATTTTACAGGCCCTCAATTTCACCCTAACCACAACTTATTTTCATTGTAAATAACTATCCATAAATGAATAACATAATTATACTTTTAAGAAAAAAATCTTAAAAGAGCAAAGTTATGTTCGGTAACAAAAAAAATTTATGTAAAATAAGTTTATACAAGAAACCCATGAAAATCCCACAAATGATAAATGTCTGACTTAATAAATCTCTCTCTTGTTCTTTCTCATCTTTCCCATTTCCGCATACAAAAACATCTAGAAAAACATGCACAATAGTACACGCTTTCTGCCTTATCGTCCTCCTTCAGCTTTTAATTCCTCACATTTTTGGGTTAATTTTATTCAAATATTTGGGCGGAATTTTGACTTTCAAATTTTGATATTGTTTTTTGAGAATAAAAATTTCGTCTCAAATTTTTTTCCCATTCTCTACATACTCTTGATCACACGAAGAAGGAGAGAATCTCTGTGCTTTTAAGTGCGAGGGAAACACGAAGAAGAGTCACTAATTTGGATAATCAGGTAACTGTAGTTCTTGTTTTTTATTTGGATATAATTGTGTTTATATCGTAATTTAATTTCTCAGGAGTTTTGTTTTTGTGTCTCCAAAAACCCTAAAAAGAAAAGTTGTAGAAAGCTTTGTAATCTTCTTCTAGATTCTTTAGGGTTTTCAATCTTACTTAAAATTTGAGTTTCTTTGAAAAAACGTCGGAAATTACTGTCGATGCATCATTCATATGATTTCAACCAGGCTAGTTATGTTCCCCTTTTCAATTTCATTCGTTCTTTTTATGGCTATTATTACAGAGATTCTCTAGTCTTTTAATATTTTCTTGTCTTATTTTTTGATCTGTTTGATGGATTTGGGACTCCTGCGGTTGAGATGTGGAAGTGCCCATATGAATTCTGTATTTTTCAAGAATACTATCAATTTTTGGGTAACTTTACTGTAATTTTTCTAAGTTCTTGCATTTATTCTTTTCTTATTTTATCATTTTAATGGATTTCGACTCTTGCAGTTGATATATGGAATGCCCAAATCAATTCTATATAGAGTTGTTAAACAAATCGAACTATTCGGTAGCTCGGTTTGTTTCGACTCATTCGTGTTCGTGAAAGGCTCGTTCGTAACCTTAAATGAACCGAGTTCGAACGAATTTTTTCGTTCAATTAATAATCGAGCGAACAGGAGCATGTTCGTGAGCTTTAACGAACGTCGCGAACATGGACATAATTATTATTTGATAAATTTTAGGGTTAGTTTTACGGCTGGAGTTTTATATTTGGAGGGCAAATTGCTTTGTTTTATTTGTTGTTTTTATGTAATGTTAGTTATATAGTTAATGAATAATAGAATTTAGTCACTTAGTGCTTTAATTGTTTTTGAGAATGATTAATGATTTGTATGGCATATTTAAGGTTTAAAATAATTTGGATTTGAGCATTTCGAGTATGTTAGCGAACGGCTCATTTTTGTTAAACGAATCGAACACGAACTCGAACATGAATTTGTTTAACGAGTCGAACACAAACACAGGTTTGGAGTTCGAAAATTAACGAACTAACACGAACGTTGTTCGAATCGCTTAACGAACAGAGTTCAAACATGAGATACTTGATTCGATTCTGCTCGTTTACAGCTCTAATTCTATATAGTTCTTTTTTTTATATGGACAAATTTGATTTTTTTTTGGTAATTTTTCTGTAGTGTTTTTCCAAGTTTTGCCTTTCTTATCCTTTTCTTTTTGTTTATATTTTGTAATGGATTTAGTTGTCTTGTAGTTGAGATATGGAAATGCCTATATTTATCTACTGAATTCTGTTTCTTTCCAAGGATAATTTATGATATTTCATCATGCAATGGTATCAATTTTTGTGTGAAGTTGTTTTAACATGTGGTTGTACTACATGTTCACAGTTGTTTACAATGTAAAATATATGAGTTCTATACTTTTGATTTTGTGTTTTGAAATAATTGATAATTTTTCAAGCTTTCAGTTTGGTGATTGTATGTGCAAGTCTGTGATCACAAAGTTAATTGTAGAAATGAATCTAGACAGAATGTCTTGGATAATTTAATTTTTGATATGTATGTATAGTAGAATGTGCATCATGGATTAGTTTGACAAAAAGAGTAAAATGATGTTTTGGGTGCATAAGAGTACTAGTTGAGGAAAAGAATCAACGGACAACAACAATTTGGAAATGAATAATAACACAAGAAAGCGCAGTAAAGATCCTATAAAAGATTATAGGTTTTCACATTCTATAGGGTCAGTTGAAATATGGTGCATGTTCTTTCAAATTTACAGAATCACAACTTATAAAGAAAATCCACATGAATCTATTAGACTAGTTTTTGTAACATGATGTTCCAGAAAATCTTGGACGTACCTTCTTTCTTGCCTGAGGAGATGGCTCTGTGTACTTGCAAACATGTACTTTACAATTTTATTTATGGTGCCAGAATTTTAACATACATAACATGTATTTACAATCCTGTATTCGCTGGTCAGAACATTTCATGGTATTTGCATACTAATAATGGCATGTTTTTCATGTTTTTATGGTTCATCTTTTTTGACGAATGTTTTAGTGCTGATTTTCTTTTGTTTGATACTGTTTGTCACAGGTTTCAGATAGAGGTCTGGTTACTATGGCTTTTGAGGTGAGTTAGAATTTATTTCAGAATTAATTGCGGCACGTATCTCTTCAGTTGATAATTTTTTTTTTAAAAAAAGTACGTAACAAGTTTGTTCTTGCAATAGTTTAGTAGTAGCTGGATTTTCTTTATCAATCTATGTGTTGTGTCTGTGCATTTTGTTGGTTGTGGAATTTCTTAGAAAATTTACACTAATTTTGCTTTTGCATGTGTTAGAAGTGGAGTATTGGATATGTTTTGCTTATCAAGTTTTTATCTTTCGATTGCTATTTGGCTTGTTTGTAGTTATTTCACTCTTTTCATCTAAATTACAAGATTTTTAGGGCAAACCTGAAATTTTGCATTGTTCATTCGCTTTCACCTTGTTTGATTTTCTCTGTGTGAAGATGCCTTTTGTTGCATTATTCTCTTTCTAAAATTCAGACTCTTAATTACATACTGCTTTTGCTTGTAGCAGTTTATAATTAGTAGGAGAATTTGATGCATAAAGAATCTTACGAAGCCATGCAAAGTTGGCATAGGTGCTTTACTGCTAGAGAATGAGACAGTAGCATCAATTTCATTTTCATCATTGTGATGCTTGGAATCTTTTGGGTGAGGATCTTGGTCCTTTAAATAGCAATGAACTTGAATCATTAGAAAGGCAGCTTGATATGTCTTTGAAGCATAACTACATGGGTGATGTACTGCTCTTATTTTCTCCAGGATTGGCTCAATACTGATAATTGAAACGAAAATCTTGTCTATTCATTGTGGACTTTTTGAGTTCCTTATATTTGTTTTGTAAGATGCCGAACTTTTAAGTTAGCTATTTATGTGGTCCTGATGAAATGGCAAGTATTGATTTGAAACGTTAGTATCACCATGCTTATCTATTTTTCTGGTCTTCTTACTATCTTGTCCCAACTCTTACTCGCTTGGTTTCTTGTACTACTTTATTTCTTCGTCTAAGAAAATTTTAGTGTCTACACCTCTAATTTTGGCAATGATCTTGTCCTTCGATGCGGTGCAATATTTAGCTATAAATCTTGTAGATATGAGTAATATGCCCAAGTATTTTAGAGGTAATGTACTCAAAGGCATCTCCAACATCTTACTCACTAGCATTTGTTTTTCACTCAAAAAGCCTGCATAGAAAATTTCACTCTTTAGAGATTTGGTTTTGGACTAGAAACCTGTTGAAATTCCAATAATGTTTCTTTGAAAACGTTTATAGATCTTTCAGTAGCAGCTCCCAACAAAAATAGGTCATCAGCAAACTTGAGATAGGTCAGACGCAATATTTCACACTTCGGATGATAATCAAATCTTGCTATTGGACATTCTTAGTCAACATGCGAGAGAAGACCTCCATCACCAACAAAAATAGGTAAGGTGAGATAGGATCACCATGCCTTAACCCCTTCTCATTTTTAAAATATCCAACCAAAGACCCATCAAATTGAGTGAAAAAGTTGATTGTAGTCACACACTTCTTATCTACGGTAAAACGTAGGTGAAAGTGCATCAAATAAAGTAGTTCAATCAAGAAAAGCATTTGATTGACTCATAGGCTTTTATTACATCCATTTTGACAACCAATCTAGGCCTACCAATCATGAGATGATATTTTTTTGATGATCTCATGCATTAACAGAATGTTATCACTAATGGACCTCCTTTTCATGAAAGCATATTGCTGTTTGCCAATAGAGAAGGTAAGACACCCTTGATTCTTTCTATAAGAATTTAGAAAAATATTTATATAGAATATTACAGTAAGCAATTCGGCAAAAATCTTTCATAGTTGCAGATTTCTCAAGTTTGGAACAAGAGTCGTGATAGTAGAATTTACAGGGCTATAGGGATGATTTGGAGAAAAATAAGACTTAACAGCTTTTAATGCCTCCTCACCAACTATATCCCAATTTAAGGTAAAGAAATCAATTGTAAATCCATCAGGGCTAGGTGCAGTACCTTTTTTCATTTTGAACAAAGAAATTTTTTATCTCAATATCAATTATAGGAGCCTTCAATATATGCTATTGTTCCTCCGATAGTTTCGAAAGATTTAAAGAACCCAAAGCAGATAGGTGTTCATTCAAACCAGAATCTAGATCACCAAAAGGTGTGTAAAGAATCTAGCAGCCTCCTTTTTCACCTCTTCACAGTCGATCAATTATCTGTCATCCATACATAATCTTGTTCTTGCAATGTGTAGTTCATAGTTCTATGAAAGAAACGTGTTTTGATCTCTTTCAGTCAGCCATTTCACTCTAGATTTTGCTTTAAAGAATTGCTTCTCAATTAACCTTAGCTCAATATATTGGAGTATCAATGCTCTTTTTTCCTACTACAAAATATCATCAAAAGAAGAATTTTGAAGACGACATTGAACCTCAAAAGTTGTTCCTTAGTGTGTTGAACTCTCTGTGAAATATTACTGAAATGCTTAGTGTTTATCTTTTTTGATACCAGTTCAATATCTTGAGTTTCTGACAGACAGCTTTCATAGGTTCTGTACCATAAGAGAATTTCTAGACCCTACATAGACAATCTTTATATTCACTGCTTTTCAGATGGAACTTGAAAGGCTCTGGTCCAAACTCGACATCATCCACAAAAGTAATGATAGTAGGTGATGATCTGATATAATAGGACATAAAAACTCCACCTCCAACCCTTTGAAACTAGAAAAACATTGCTCATTTGCCATTACTCTTATAACTTGCTATAAATTCTTACTTCATTTTCCCTTCTATTACACCATGTAAGGGTGATTCCTTTAAAGGAACACCTCTATATCAATAGAATCGATATAGTTATTAAACTCCTTCACAGCATCCAAATCATGTCCACTTCCTCCCAATTTTTCAGGGCAAAACCTGACTATGTTAAACCTCTCATCAACACCGATGGATCCCCATAAATTTCATAGCATAGATTGTCAATTCCTACTAGAAAGGCCTTCTAACTAGAGTGTCATTTATGACATACACAATAGACTAGAAGAAGCTCTTTAGATTACTTTTAGGAGTAACTTGAACATTAATAGCTTGATGATGACTAGAGAGCCTTGTGACTTGAACATCGTCCAGATTCTAACCCACACACAATCTATCAAAACTCATAAATGAGTAGTATGAATATATAGCCACCCATGCAAATAGCTAGATAAGACATTATCCACCTTGCGACTTCTAAGCTTTATGTCAGTAATACCAATCAGGTTTAGATTTTGGTCCTATATTTAGGGGTGGCAACGAATTCGAATTCGATAATTTAGAAGCTTGAATTATGAATTTTTCAAAAATTTTGTAGCAGAATTACCATTGAATTCGATTTCAAATTCAATTCAGAATTCGGTAAAGTCCGAATTCACCGAATTCGAAAACCTTTTTTCCTTCATTGTTAGATGTATTGTTATATAATATAAATTTTATATTACATATATTATAAAATATTATTATATATATAAATATAATAATAATATATATTAAAGATGAAATTGAAATAAAAGATATTATTATTATGTATGTATATTTATAAAATGAAATTGAAATAAAAAATATTATTATATATAAATATATAATTATAAAATGAAATTGAAATCAGAAATTTCGATTTCGATTTCCCAATTTCGAATTATGAATTTGAAATCAAAAATTTTGATTTCAAAATTTCATTACCGAATTCGAACCAAATTCGAATAATTTGAAATAAAAAATTTTAATTTCAGTGTCGAATTCCGATTTACCGATTTCGAAAATTCCAATTCAATTCGAATTCGATCGGTAAATCGAAATTTTTCGATTTCACACTCTTACCTATATTAAATTCACAATTTCCTTTGCTTAGAGGATCATTCAATCCTCTTATATTCCAGACCCTATTAACATTTAAAAGTTGAGAGGAGTTCTTGATCCCTTTATAGTTCTGTCTTTTCTCCTTGCTTCAAAGGTTTTAAATCCTTCCATCCCTGGTTTACCATGTTACCTTCTGCTTGGCTAGAATCAGTGTTCTAGTTGAGGACTCGAAAAAATTTTCTTATTTTATTTTATTTCTTCGAATACATTTTTGTTACTTTACTGTATTGTCTTCATTTCCTAAATATTTTTATAGGTGAGTCAAGTTTTTAAATCATTTTCCTTGTATAAGTTAGTACATATTAATTTCATAATGCATTATGGAAGTAGGACCCACTAGTGAGGTGCGTGCGATAAATTTTTGAAAATTAGAAGGAGTTTTGTGCAAACGGATATTATTTTGTAAGGTGTTAAGGGATAATTAGAGGTTGGCTAGATATTTTAGTGATTGAAAGACAATAGGATGAGGATTAACCCTTGGATGTTATTTGTCATTAAAGCATTGGACCATTGATTTTGACTAAGACCTTTCTTAACCTTTTATTAACCCAAAATTGACCAAAAATCTTTTCCCCTATCTTGGCTGACTCCTTGGAGAGAAAAAAAGGAAGGAAAACTTCATCTTCAACAGCTAATTCTTACTTGAATCTTCAGTTTTTACCTTAATCTTGCAAATCACTCCATAAAAATTGACACTTAGGGAGGATTAAGGGCTTTGGTGGAAGGATTTTGGAGGAAGAAGAACTTGGTTGCCATATCTTCATGGGTTTCAAGGTAACTATATTAAGAAACCCTCTTTTCTTTTAATACTTGCATAAGAGTGGATTTAGAGCTTGATTTTGGTAGTTTTTATGAGAAATTTCATGGTTTGAGTGGTGATTAAAAAATTTCAGCTTTGATGGTGAAATTTCAGCTTTTATATGATGCTTTGAACTTGGCCATGATTTAGTAGCTATGCCATGTGAATCTTCTAGCTTTTACAAGTTATTTTGGCTTGCTTATGAAAAATTTCAGCTTTGTTGTGGTTGATTCTTGAGCTTGAAATTGGCTATATTGGATGGTTTTGTGGCCTTAAACAAGTGTACTTTATAGTTTATAACCTGTGGTTGTGCTTGAGGTTGGATTGCTATAAACCTATAAATATTGGTGTTGAGTTTGGATGGAAAAGTTAAGCAAATAAGGGGAAGTGTTGCTGGAAATTTTTCCGCAAGAAACTCTGAGCAGTTTTGGAAAATCTATTATATCTTGGTGTATAAAAATCCAAATTGAATTTCGCTTATTGTGTTTGAAACTAGATTCAGAGTGGATTCTACCATGAAAATTCAGAAATTTTCTCAATTCCTATGAATATCTATGATTTTCCAAAGTTGACTGAATTTTCACACCTGCTCTGTTTTTCTACTTGATGAAGTAGCAACTTGAGACTAGAATTTGACTGATTTATGGATAGAATCTTACAAATATGTATTCTAGAAAATTTTAGTCCTTTGAGTCTATTTTCCAATGGTATAAAATTTATAAATTTTGGACTTAAGAAACTTGCGCAAAACTGGAGAAAATTTTATTTTCTAAACTTGTTCTTGCTTCCATTTCCAACTTTAAGTTGGAGTTGTTAAACCATTTTGAGCTTGGTTTTATGAGTGGAATTGAGGTTTAAATGAAAGGAAATGAGTTTCTTCAAATCATTTTAGGTCGGATAATTTCCAACTTTGCATTTTGAAAGTCTTGTTCTAATTTCTTCAAACGTTTGACTATAATCGATACTCTTGTGTTCCAAATAACTTTTGCAACGTTGATTTAGTAAGCACACGAGGTTTTCTCCTCGATTGCAACAAAAAAATATTATATTTTGATAGGTTATACGGGCATAAAACTTATAAATTGATGCATTTTCTAAATGAAGTTTTGAAACCTCAATTTCTTCATGTATTTTGGTTTTGTATTGCTAGTCTTTTAATATAACCACAGGACTCGAGAGAGTTCAAGAGGATGAACCAAGGTTAAAGTGAAGGGTTGCAATTGATTGGTGACTGTTTCAATGCATGTTATTTGATTATGCATGACTTGAGAAAATGCTATTATTTGCTTAAGTGCTCTCCTTTGAATGACATGCTAATAAGTGAATGACTGTTGTGATTTTCTTGTTTTGTTAATTTTCTATGAGCGCATGTTCACATTGCATGAATGCATGATAAATGTGCAAGAATGTAGGCCGATGTGTATTTTATCGCATCGATTGAACTGAGTTTAACCCTATGCCGGCATCCTATTCGAGACCCGCCATTTGCGAGGTCGGATTAGCTAGACAACTTTGGGTTTATAACTTACCAATATTAAGTGCAAAGTTCAAAACTCTTTACCAAAAGGCCTTGAATACAATATTTAATGTTTAATGTTAAATGAGGGGATTGTTGATTTTTTGGAGGGCATAAGGTAGATGTTAAATGAGGGGATTGTTGATCTTTCGGAGGACATAAGGTGGGAGTTCGGAGGTTATAAGGTGGTAAAATGTATGTGATTGTTTATTGGCAGTTATAAGGTAAATGTTGCTCTCTGTGAGTCACGTATCCTTTTAATGTTTAAATTATTGTTCATCCTTGTATTTACTTGAACAAATGATTGAATGCATGCATGAATGTTATTGTTTATCAAGTATTTTACATTGAAAGATTCCTATTATAATTAATTGCTCCACTACCAGTTTTTAAAGTTGAGTATCGATTTACTTGAACCTAGATTACTTGGAAAAATGTGCTTACATGTTAAATTGTGCTATTCTCTTATTTTGCTTGTTTACTTGGAATGCTCACTGGGCATAATCTCATCCCACATTTTGTTTTTCTTAATAGGATTCGGATCCAAAAGTGCTCAAGAATATTGTTGGAATGTTTTGAGAGACTTTAAGTTTTTATTTTAGTAGAAATGACTGTAATGTATATATTTTTGGGTTGTAATTAAGATAGGCATCGAATGATGAATCTTTTGTGTGTGAACCTATGTAATAGCCTTTGGATGTATGTAAATGTTATTTTGGGGTGTAATGAATATTATTGGTTAGTTTAGAAATGTCAAGTAATTCTTGCTATGGATTGTAGTGAGTTCTGACGAGAGTTGGGTAGGCGGTCCGCTGACCCCTCTAGTTCGCCTTTGGGAAAAGTAGGGCTGTCACACTAGTATTATGATATCAATCCCATCTCCTATGTCATCTCTTGCCACTCCAGAGTAGCCAACATTTCTCTTTTTACTTCTCATCTTTGGATTTGTGCTTACTTCCTCCTACTCTAGCAAAGGCGAAAACCCATTTTGGCAACGTAATATTAAGTTGTTGCAAACTGCACTCAGAATTTGTCCTCTTAACAAATTCAAATTTGATAACCTCCTTTGTCATAACTTTCTGAAATACATGTGTAACATCATATTTCTATTGCTCCACTGTATTCACCTTAATAATATTAGTTATATTCCCCTAGTAAGCCATTTTCCTCTTTGAAACCCATTTTTGTTGAAGTTTTGGACATTTTGGACATTGTTTACTAGTATGCCCAAAGTAGAGAACTCCAAACAAAAAGAAGCGATCCATTCATACTCCATTGGCTGCTACACTTCTCTACACCAAATTCATCAATAAAAGGAATACACTCTAGTAGTTTTGCACCTCCCTTTATTTGCACACATGCTCTGGCATATGACAACCTTTCTTAGGATGCCATTTGCTTATCTATGCATAAAGGTTTTCCAATAAAACTAACTAATTTATTGACGGTAATTTCATTATAGTAGTAAAACTTTAAGTCAGCCAATCTTGCCCACATAGGTTCCTTTGTTATACAACTATATGTTAAATCCAAGTTAGGAGACAAGCTTTCAAATATAGAAGTTTATTGAAAAAAGCCATAGCCCTGTGTCCAATACGACAACTTTGAATTCTTCATTCTCAAATAGGAAAATATAGAATCCATTTTTCAACAATATAACATCAATCTTCCCAAATTGAGGCCCAATTTTCTATCCAAAATTATACATGATAGTAAAGAAGGGAATTCTAACCCATAACAACACCCCAAATAACGATTCCATTTAGCTAGACTTTTACTAATATCATCATGAGTCAAGGACATTTTTAGGTTCCATAGAAGAAAGCTCTGACTCATTAATATAAGTTTTGTTTTAACAACAACAATTTATGACAATGGTTTATCAAAGAACTTACATTGCTTTGATGCATCAACTCTATTTTTCAAGGAAGGAAATTGATTTGCAGAATGTGAATCCACCAAGATAGATCCCAAATCAATTGTTAGGCTCCCCCTTGGCTCAATCAAATCACGATTTTTTGGAGGCAAAGACGGGCAGCTTTGCCTAATTTCGTCAACTCCAACCAATCGCTGCTTAGAAGCAAGAAAGAGGGTGACACACAACCCAGCACTAGAACCAAAAGATATGCCATCATTGAAATCAAATCAAAACAGAACGTAGTAGTGCTACTGAATTCACCCGAGAGGAGAACCCTTAATACTTTACTAAGACACTCCAAAAAGCCTATTTATTGACCTCAAAGATTGCAAGGATTATGAATCCAAAGGAATATAGATTCAGGCAAGCTCAAATCAGTAGCAAACAGAGGTTTTTGGGCAGCGCACGTTAATGCAACTCTTAGCTCGCTCACATTGGCAAGAGAGAGAAAACTACCCAACTCCTGTAGTTCTCATGATTACCTCACTTTCTCATTAACATCTCTCATTTAATGCACTTTTTCTCTTAGAAGCCCTATAAACATTGCAAACACCAAACATAAGTAGAATGCAACAATTAACACCAAATTTGGCCAAGATTAATATGTAATATTCATAAAAAAATATACAATTAGCTCTCTAACATATCATTCCAATTTTCACTCTAACAATATGCAATGGATTCCCCGACAAGACGATTCAAAATATGTAGTTCACCTCAACCTAGGATTAAAATTCACTTCATCATCTGGACCATGACGATGCATAGTAGTAGAGCCTGCCATAATTTTTTTATTTTAATGTTCTTGAACCTGCATTGAAACCAACCTTCAACATCTAGTACATCTTGTGCATTTCACCTTAGATGATCAATCATCATACTATTGCTCGATGAAACCACACCTAATTCCAAAAGATACAAAATGAAAAATTGCTTAAAAATTGTTCATAATCATCAATGATATGCTACTAAAAAGTTAGAATCAATATCAAGAAGAAAAAGAAATTACTGGAAACCTAGTACCTCACTAGAAAGAAAACAAATAGTAAATCACTAAAGGATCATAATTCATAGAAATAATTAAATTAACAAAATACAGTTAGAGACTAACAAAAATAAACACTTACTCAAATTTTAGAAATTTAGAAATACTTAAACTCAAGCATAAATGATAGAAAGAAAGCATAAAAGTTGCTATGGATAGAATGAAAACACACAAGTTGCTATATTCCTTGAGCCAGTGTCAAACTTTCGTAAATCACAAGTTTTGTCAAATAGCAAGTTAAAAGCATTGATACTTTGAGATATTATATCCACATAGGAAAACACATATCATTATACATTACAAAAGAAATTACTATCCATCGAAAAAAATTAAAATATTAACATCTGATATTATACTTTTGTCTCCCAGAAATCGCAAACTATCAATATAAGTGAGAAAATTCAATATCTCAATGACTGATTGCAGCATAACAAAATATGATAGTTAACTTGATTAGGTAAAATATATGTGGACAAGTATGAAGTCGAAGCATGAAAAAAATTCAAAAAAAAAAAAAAAAACACTGTGAAAACTAAAAACTTGTATCATGGCATGACAATGTCTTTTGGAGGCCATGGTGGGCAAATAGATGCATGAAAACACTGTCACTTTTGGATTTTAGTCAATTGTTATAAATTTGAACTATCTAGTGAAGACATGACATTTCTATTAATACCCTTAGGGAACCAATCTATGCACTAGTTCAAAAAAGGAAACACTAGTAGCACTTAAAAACAAAACTCAGTTTATAATTATTAAAACATTGAACTACATAAAGCAAGCAAAGCAATACAAATTTAAATATTTAAATTAAATTTATGCACAAAAGCAGAAGAATAAAATTGGCTTATCTACACACAGCAGCACTCGATATATATTCCTATATCAAACAAACCATGTATTGACAGATCCTAAAATCACAAGAAATGAAAAAAAAATCAATTTATGATATATCCATGTTCACTATTGTTCCAAATCCATATGATATACTCTACTGTAATGTTCCAACCAAAAAGAATCACCTCTTTCACATGGAACAACATTTTGACTTAGTCTTTACATTTTCTTTATTTTTTAAAAAGAAACCCATAAAACTATTAAAAAATTGTTCGAATAAGAAAAAGGACGTACCACCTTATGGAAGAAAATATAATTTATTTAGTTTACTTTAATGACAATAATTTGAGATATGTAAGCAGTAAACGTTTGATACCAGATAGAGCAGAAGGAGAAGGAGCAAAGATGCAAATGAATTCAATAATAAAGCACAATATAGTAAGATTAAGTAACATACTTTTAGTATCATAAACTATCCAAAGTTAGCATTCAAATTAATGAAATTGAAGATTATGCAAATTAAAACCTCAAACATACCTCTAACCTTAAAAGTAAATGATAAGAGAAAAAGAATATCAAATCACTAATCAATAAGGATTTAACCTTCATCATCCTTTGATAAAATCTCTACAATCTAAAGATTATTGAAAAAATAGTATTTAATCAGAACCCCTTAACTCATTGTGATTAGTATGGATAAATTTTCCAAAAAAAGAAACAAAAGGGAAATAAATTATACCTATAGTTCTTCGATATGAGTATGTTTGTAATCCTTGACAAATAAAAAGCAAAGCGTAATCAATCATAATCAAGTACAGAAATCAAAAGTTCCTGTGCCAATCAAAAGCAAATCTTAATATGCTTGATGTCTTACAGAGGTTTGGCCTCCACCTCCTGTAGACACCAAATTTTGAATAATTTGTATGTATCATCTATTTCATGATTTTCATTTTAGATTGCTTGTATTTTAGTTCGTTATTGTGTGTTTTGCACTATTAGTTGTTATGATATTTTAGTTTTATTCATTTTCGCCCTTTTAGTTGACCTATTTCATTTGTTATTTATTATTATTTACTTTTAGTTTTAGTTTTTAGTTTTAACTTTTAAGTTTAAGATTAGCATAGAGTTTTTAGAAAAAGAAAAGGAAAACATCAAAAATATATTTTAGTCATTTTGTTTTTATTCAATGCTTTCTTGAAGGAAAAATGAAAATGAAAAATCATAAAAAAAAGAGAAAAGAGAAAATTAAAGAAAAAGAAGAAAAAGAAGAAAAATTCAAAAAAAAAATATAGGTTTTAGTTGGCTTGGAAAAATGGAAAGAAAGAAAAAGGAAATTTTGAGAAATGAAAATGATGAAAATGAAAAACTAAAAATTAAAGAATGGCCGTTTTTGTTTAGTTTTTTGTTTATTATTTTGTTTTGTTATTATTATTACCTGGTTTGTGTAATTTTGTTATTATTATTTATATTTTATTTTATCATTTCTGTAATTATCAAGTTGTTTTAAAAAAAAAAAAAAAAACTGCAGCCTGCACGCTGCAATTTTTTTGCAGCGTGCAAAGGACAACCTCAATAGACATCGGATGGCCGGATGGAAAGGGAAGGGACAAGCCTTCATCCTCACCATTGGGGTGAGGGTTTAGTGGCTTTGTGTTCCATATAAAAGGCAAGGAGAAACCACAGCCGAAAAGGGGAGTTTTCGGTGAGCAAGGGGGAGAGAGTGGAACGGCTAAGGAAAGCTGAGAGGGGAGAAAGAGAGAGTTGGAGAGAAGAGGACGACTGGAAAAATTTGGAGTGAGCAAGAGAGAGGAAGAGCGTGAGAGATAGAAAGACAGCAAGAAATTCTGGAAAAAGGGGAGGAAATCAGAGTGAGAAAGCTTGAAGGAGAGATTAGAGAGTTTGGGACGGCTGGGTTGAGTAAGGAAACCGGAGGAAAAAGAGGAAGCTTGGGGTGGCAGTAACGGGCTGAG